GTTGGGTTAATTTGCATATAGTCGCTCTGATTGGCTGGTGGGTGTGGCTTAAGGCGTAGCAAAGGTACAGTCAATTTGCATGTTTGTCTTTTATTAGTGTAGATGGGTAGATAGGAGGAGTCAAACCCAGGGCCCAGTATTGGGAGAATGAATAGTTAAAATGGGTGAATGTACACAATGGAGATGCCACATAGCACTTGGCAGCTACAGGCTAGAAAAACATAAATACACCACTGGGTGAGAATATTAATTATACCTGTGTATATAAAAATAAAATTTGCATAAAATAAAAATACTGTATATGCCCACAAAACAGTAATACATAGCGTTGAAGAATGTCTTGTGAACAAAATCGTGTACAAAGCATGCATTATATTGCTTGCCTTGGAGGAGGATGAGGAAGTAGAATATAGGGATTAAATGAAACCAGTAAGGATTTGGGCTGGTGGCTGTGGCGACAGCCAGAGCAGTGGACCGTAGGGGTGCATGCAGTCCCATCATAGAGGACGAGCTGAGCTTCTCGGACATCTATTACTCCCCGTCCTGCTGCAAGTTCTGCCTCAGCTGTCCTTGGCTCTCACTGCACTCACTCACCAATGTCACCTGCTCCATGTGGTTGGTGGCTCTTCACCCTCTGCGAGAACAGCATGATTCTCTCCGCTGCCATAGTCATCACCCTCAGAGGCCTGCTTGGTTACCTCCATTTTGTGAAGCTTGATCAGAAGACTCTGTTAATCACTGATTCCCTTGGCATCCAGATGACTTTATCCTATGCCTCTGGCAAAGAAAGCACCACCCTCATTGGGGTGGGCAAGGTGAAGGATGTTATCATTAATGAGGCTATTTACATGCAGAAGATGACTGCCTATCTCTGCATTTTATTGAATGATCCGGTGGAACCAAATGGGATATCCCAAGTAGTACCTGTCTTCCAGAGTGCCAATGGACTGCTTGATTGACGTGTACAGGAGCTGTCAGGAGACCCTGGCACACCAGAAAGCCACATCCACAAGCCCATGCGCCCGGCTTTCAGAAGGCCCGTACTGTCTTCCATGGGAAATGACTCCTAAGCCCCCGGGTGGTGTATTTTCTGTATTCAAACCATCATGTGGACACGGGCCTAGGAACCGGGATGGAAGCAGTGGACCTGAGACACAGAGCAGGTGACTGGAACCCAGCTCACTGTGTGATGTTGAGCAAAGCATTCCTGGTATCTCAGGGCCCCCGTGTAAGGTATGTGCACTTCACCGACTGAGAGGAGACCGTAAGAAACGATATGTCAAAGGTCATGTTGACAAAGAGCACTTTGTGAATTTCCTAAGCACATTCAGGTTTACTTTTTGTTGAAATTTGTGGAGCAAGACAATGGGAAACTGATATCAGATCTCCTGAGAAAGATAATTTCCAAATGTTTAAAAGTTAAGAAAAAAAGTCCAGCCCTTCAAAAGACTGGTCTCTGTCCCCCTAGCTCCTGTGTCTGTACCGCAGGGGTCCTCAAACTTTTTAAACAGGGGGCCAGTTCACTGTCCCTCAGACTGTTGGAGGGCCGGACTATAGTTTAAAAAAAAACTATGAACAAATTCCTATGCACACTGCACATATCTTATTTTGAAGTGAAAAAACAAATGTTTTCAGCGGGCCGCATGTGGCCCGCGGGCCGTAGTTTGAGGACCCCTGCTGTACAGTGTTAAATATGATGCCTCTCTTAATAAACAGGTCTCCTTCAAAAAAAATTAAAACAATAAAATAAGATGTATCTTACGAAATGACATTATTAATATTAATTAAATACTGTTTTAAAAATCATAGGATATGAAATACCCATTTAAGGGGAAATAAAAGACTATAATTTTATGCTATATCTTAACTGATGTTAAATTCTTTCTGATTTTTATTTGTGTAAAATATCATAACCTATGATTGGTGGACTGAACTAATTCTTCCCTTAGTATATAAAATGTTTGCCCTTCATTGAAAGAAGACCCTTAATGTTAAATTGGCTTGCTGTAGTAGAAGTTTATATCTTTTAATTAGTTGAACTATTGTACTAAAATTTACTTTTAGAGGTTTTATTTGGACCATACTATATCTCTACCTCAGTTAATTAAAAATAGAGTTAAATTCAAAGATATAAAGATTCATATCTCCCCTTCCCCCATCCCTTTCCACAACTGTGTTTTTGTTCATCAAGGTAAACGTTTATGATTGCAGTAGAGAGCCCCCACACTTCTCCAGATGATTGACGGAGAGAGCCCCCATATTTCCAGAGCAGCTCTTCTCACTCTTTCACCAAAAACAAACAGTAAATGGTCATCCCAAGCAAGTTCATTTTCTAAGTGTTTTGTAAAGATGATTTCTTTAAAAGTCACCTTTTAAAAATATTTAGACATATAAAACTTTTACTTAGGGACAAGGATTGAGTAAAAATAGCACCACCTACATTGGTAGCCATGGATATGAGAAGGGAGATACTATAACTCATCGCAATGGCAGGCATAAATAACACAGTTATTCTGTAACTATTTAACACTTTACAGTGTATAAAGCATGGTCTCTTAAATTAACTCACTCGAACCTCATACCCTTAGGTCAGGAATTATTATTTCCATTTTAAAGAGAAAGTGGTCATCTAGAGATAGTGATTTGCTCAAATTCAATTTTTAGAAAGTGGCAAAACTGGGACTTAAACCTTGAAATCCAGGATATTTTCCTCATTTGCTATGCTACTAACACTACTTCCATGCTTCAAAACATGGAGAGAATTGGCTAGTTATATGCATGTGTATTTGATTCATTAGAAGGTGGGGAGCAGTAAATGGACTACTTTCAAAAAACGGTTACTATAAAATTATTTTGAAGGAAAGAGACACATCTGATAGAAAGCTATATATTGTACTGGCAAGTCCACCTGTTTCAACAGAAGAGGCTCCAGTTCTGCCAGTGATGGGGTTGCACTGCAGACACCCTGATGCTGTCCTCCTGCCCCAGAACCAGAGCAACAAGAATCATGAAGAATCAGGGAAACCTGACACCACCAAAGGAACACAGTAAATGTCCAGTAACTGGTCCCAAATAAATGAAGATACACTGGGGCCTTGACTTACGAGTTTAATTCGTTCCGAGACCGAGCTTGTTAAGGAGCTCGTTAAGGAGCTCGTTAACTCAAATTAATCTATCAACTCAATGCAAAAAATCCGCCGAGAGACAGCTGGTATCTCAAAAAAACTCGTTAGTCGGGACACTTGTAAGTCAAGGCCCCACTGTACATGAATTGCCTGAAAAAAATAATTAGAAATAATTGTTATAAAGATGCTCATAGAGTTTTAAGAGAACACAAATAAACAATTTAACAAAAAAATCAGGAAGAACAAAATGAAAAATACAAGAAAGAGATAGAAAACCTTAAAAAGAACCAAACCAAAGTTCAGAGCTGAAGAATACAATAACTGAACTAAAGAATTAAGTACAGAGCTCAACATTGGACTGAGCCAAGCAGAAGTAAGAATCAGCTAGCTCAAAGTCAAATCGTTTGAAATTATCCAGTCAGAGGATCAAAAGGAAACGTAATGAAAAAGAATGAGGAAAGCCTGTTGGACTTATGGAGTACCATTAAGCAAACAATTTTTGAATTATTGGAGTCCCAGGAGGAGAAGAGAGGACAAGGATGAAAGGGGCAGAAAACTTATTTAAAGTAACAATGGCTGAGAACTTCCCAAACCTGAGGAGAGATTTGGACATCCAAGTTTATGAAGCTAATAAGTCAGCCCAAAATTTCAATCCAAAAGGATCCTTCTCCAAGATACATTATAATAAAGCTGTCTAAAATCAAAGACAAAGAGAGGATTGTAAAAGTAGCAAGAGAAAAACAATTCTCTCATACAAGGGAACCTTTATAAAACTACCAGTGGATTTAGCAGCAGAATTCTTGCAGGCCAGGAAAGAGTGGGATGATATAGTCAAAGTGATGAAGAAAAATACTGCCAAGCACAGTACTTTACCCAGCATAGCTGTCCTTCAGAAATGAAGGTGAGATAAAGACTTTCCAAAACAAAAGCTGAGGTTGTTCATCACCATAAGACCTGCCTTACAAGAAATGCTGGAAGTTCTTCAAGCTGAAAAGAAAAGATGATAACAAGTAACATGAAAATATATAACACACTGGTAAAGGTAAATATATAGGCAGCTTCAGAATATTCCAGTATTATAATAATGATGCTATGTTAATCACATAACTCTAGTATAAAGGTTAAAGGACAAAAGTATAAACACAGGTATAATTTGTTAATGGATACACAATATAAAATGATGTAAATTGTGACATCATAAATATAATCTGTTATCAGGTTAAAATAGTCTGTTATGTCTATAAGATGTTTCAAGTAAGCTTCAGGGTAACCATAAAACAGAAACCTATAGTAGATACACACAATCCAATGAGAAGGTAATCCAAGTATACCACTATGGAAAATCATCAATTGAAAAGGAAGACATCAAGAGAGGAAGATAGGAACTACCAAACAGACACAAAACAGTTAACAAGGTGACAGTAGTAAGTCCTTAACAATCCTTAATTATTTTAAATTTAAGTGGATTAGTTATGCCAATCTAAAGGCATAGTGTGACTGAATGAATTTTTTTTTAAAGAACCAATTATATTACTGCCTACAAAATACTCACTTTAGTTTCCAGGTCACACATAGCCTCAAAGTGAAGGGATTAAAAAAAAAAAAGATATTCCATGTAAATGGGAACCAAAATAGAGCAGAGGTAGCAATAGTGGTATCAGAAAGAAATAAGACTTTCCGTCTAAAACTGTAATAGGACACAGAAAAGGTCATAGGGATAAAGAGGTCAACTTGCCAAGAGGAAACAACAATTGTAAATATATATGCACCCAAAATCAGACACCTAAATACATTATGCAAATACTAACAGATCTGAAGGGAGTAATAGACAACAATACAATAATAGTAGGGGAATTAAATACCCCACTTTCTACAACAAATAGATCATCCAGACAGAAAATCAATAAGGAAACATTGGACTTAACCTTTAGACCATGTGAACCTAACAGACGTACACAAAACATTCCATGCAACAAAAGGAAAATATATACATTTATTTCCATGTTCCACATTCCCCAGAGTAGGTCATATCTTAGGTCACAAAAAATTCTTAGAAAAATTTAAAATATTGAAATAATACCTATTATCTTTTCTGACCATAGTGGTATGAAATTAGAAATCAGTAACAGAAGGAAAACTGGAAATTTCACCAATATGTGGAAATTAAACACCTGTTTACAACTGACCAACTAATGGATAAAGGATTAAATCAAAAGAAAATTTAAAAACTTATCTTGAAACAAATGAAAATGGAAACGCAACATAGCAAAACTTATGGGATGTAACAAAAGCAGTGCTAAGAGTCAAATTTACATCAATAAATGCCTATATTAAAAAATAAATACCTCAAATAAACTAAGTTTACTAACCTTAAGGACTAGAAAAAGAAGAAATTAAGCCTAAAGTCAGCAGAAGAAAGGAGATAAAAGTCAGAGCAGAAATAAATGAAATAGAGAATAGAAAAACAATAGAAAATCTCAATGAAACTAACAGTTGTTTTTTTAAAAGATTTTAAAATGCCAAACCTTTAGCTATACTCGCCAAAAAAAGAGATAAAATTATAAATGAAAGAGGAGACATTATAACTGATACCACACAAAAAGTGTCACAAGAAACTACTCTGAACAATTACAGGCCAACAAATTGGACAACCTTAAAGAAATAGATAAACTCCTTGAAGCATACAACCTAGCAAGTTTGAATCATGCAGAAACAGAAAATCTAAACATACCAATTACTAGTAAGGAAATTAAATCCGTAATCAAAAATCTTCTAACAAAAGCCCAGTCCCATGGTTTCGCTGGGGAAATCTTCTAAAAATTTAAGGAAGAATTAACACCAATCCTTCTCAAACTCTTCCAAAAAAATTAAAGAGGAGGGAACACAACCAACTAAATTTATGCAGCCAGCATTATCCTGGTAACAAACCAGACAAGAATAGTAAAGTAAAGAAAACTATGTTCATATTCCTGTTGAACATAGATGCAAAAGCCTCAGCAAAATATTAGCAAACCAATTTCAACAGCACATTGAAAGGATCATACACTGTGATCAAATTGTGTGCAAG